ATCATGTGACACTTGTGTAAGACTGGAGTAATGATGCTGAAAATTCAGCTTTGCCCTCATAGGATTAAAAAACATTTTAAAATATATTAACATAGAAAACAGTTATTTTAAAATTGCAATAGTATTTCACAACAGTACTGTTTTTACTGTATTTTTGATCAAATAAATGCAGTCTTGTTGAGCATACTTATTTAAAAAACATAAAAAAATATTACAGACCGCAAACTTTTGAACGGTAGGACACCTGATCGTTATGATCTTAATAAATATTCTCGGTTGATAATCGTATACCTGCAAAAAATAATGACTTTCATAATATTTAGTACAAATATCCCACATCGTACTTTGAAAGGGCCATAGCATAAGCGTGAAGGTTACCTTTGCACCTGTGATGAGCAGAGCTCCACTCCTCAGTCCACGTCCTGTGGAGACCAGCTCACGCGACAGAGAACCTCCCATTAGAGCATGAGAGATGTGCTCGAAAGCAGACCTGCCGATGTCCTCTACCCCACTGAGCAAACAGATTCAACACTCACATACAACAAAGAAAAACTACACTGACTCAACAGAAAGTAAATGCTGTTTGCTATGGATATTAAAAAAATACATTGATATTAGAGCGGCACGATTCTGGATAAGTTGAGAATAACAAATATTTTTTTGTTTGTTTCAAATAGAGATTGCGATTCTCCCATGATTCTGAACAGACAACTAAAAAAAATAACATGTAATTTACTAGAGGTTCTGATTGGTTGAATCAGCGTTTTTGAATGAATCTCTTGAACGAATGATTCAATGACATGTTTTTAACATTCACTCTTGCGATAGGTGTTTTGCTCTATTTTGTCTACCATAGACATCAGCGTTTATATCCGAACTATAAACTTTCAGTTTTATCCCAGTACTTTTGCAATAATTTGTAACACAGAAATATGATACTGTGTGGTTGAAAAGACTATTTGTGAAGCTGCTTCATACCTATGCTTTCTCTGGGTCAGTGGCAACGGCACCGCAGATCTGAATTTTCTGGTGTGATGTTGTCAAAGGATTAATAGACATAGGAGAATTGTTGTCATTTAGAAATAAGATCGCATGGGTGTTTGAATCGAGATCTTTTAGCGAATAATCGTGCAGCTCTAATTGACATTTCCTCTTTTTAAAAAGAATACGAGCATACCCAAGAGAGCTGAGGGAGGGAAAGCCAAGATACAGATCTTCATTATCATCATCAGCGCCACTGTGGTCAGAATATTGTGGCTCTCTGACAATCTAAACAGAGATTGAGCTGGTTTGTTGAGCATGCATGAGAAGGAAAATTAATTTCCAAAAATGATATGTCTTTATACCTGCACGTCTGTTTTCTTTAGTAAACTGGATGATAGAAAGAACATCTCATCATCTTGCTGTTGCTCTGGTTTTAGCACAGTCAAGACAAACTCTTCTTTTCCTGAGAAGAGAAAAACACAGAATAGTCTGTAATAATTGTAAAATTAATGAAAACATACATGTTTATGGTTCTTCCTCACACCTTCAGCACAGGGTAAGAGAATGACATTAGTGCGTCCGGTCAGACAGGTCAAAGGTTGATGGCTCTGAGCATGCAGCCAGTTGAGGAATGCAGACTGAACATCTTCTTCTTTTTCACTTTCTGCCTGCAGACAAAAACAGGGAATAACTTTACAATACAATATTTTCATTACCTGACAACATAAAGCACTAGTCTGAAAGAAAATCTTACCAACGGTAGTAATGGGCGAACCATGACTGCTTCTGCTACTCTTGGCAATGACTTTAAAGGCTGAATCCTCACCGCCGAGTGAGGTTCAATCTTCAAATGCCTTTGCAGCACCTTTGGGATCTACAACAATAAGAAAATTTAACAAGATTTTTACTAGGGATGCACAATATATCTGTACTATATCGGTTATTAGCCTGTTTTCGTTTTTGTTTGTATTGGTTGGATCCAATATAAAGATTAAAGAATATTTCTATGAAACTCATATAACTGAACTGAAACTGTAATAACTTACCCAAACCTTCCCAGAGTAAATTTCTTCACATTTATGGAATTTCTGGTCTTCCAGCAGCCTTTTCATATTGTGACAAAGCATCCTGACCACAACAGCGTTCTCCTTACATTCCTCTGCGTCATTCCCTTTGTGAGGTCCATCTCTGATTTTCTTCTTCTCCATGGACTGCTTGACTTTCTCCCTGAGTTCTTTAGGAGAAAGGATCTTTGAAAGTCTACCGTATGTTAAGGCAGACTGCCCTGGATTCCAGTTCTCTTGTTCTTGCAGGTTCCATGGCAGTATATGGACATCTCCATGACATGAGCCTAAATGGCTGACAGAGCTAGGAGGAGTTCCACATGTTCTGAGGATACAGTCATTCAGGATGGTGGGAATTGTGGGAACTGTGAGATTCTCCTTTGCAGGCTCGAATCCTCTTGTAAACAAGTATCTAAACAAGCTTTTCAGATCAGCTATACCTCCCCAATGGCCTTCATTCTGACTCCCCAGATGACCACTGAGGGGTTCCCGATGGACGATTGAGCTGGAGGAAGACGTGACATCAACATTCTGGTGTTGTAGATGTTGACTTGGCTCCACTGATCGAGTTTGGTGGAGTTGTTCATTTCCTGGATGTAGTTTTGGAGAGACAACGAGCTCAGTGAACTGCTCCAGTCGGCCATAAGGAACAGATGGAGATAGGGATGCTAAAAATATAAGAATCATTAGTGTACAAGAATCAGCTCATACCCAATGACAACTTCAATGTGACAGACCTTTAAAATAGGGCAGACTGACCTATCCTGATATAGATGACGGTGTGCTGATCCACCCATACAGGGAACACACCGTCACTGAAGACCACTCGGATCTGATCCAGGAGTTGCTGTTCCAGAACAATGCTGTGCAGCTCCTGGAACAAAGTTCAATCAAATTTTTGACTGAAAAGGCATTCACAACCCATTTTTACTTGATCTAATGTATTTGTATAAAGTAAAAAAGGCGTTCAATGAAAATACATTTTATTGACTGGGTCATGAAATTTGAGTGTTTCATACCAAAATTGAGCCAGATGCAGATGTTTGCAGTGGATTGTGAAGGACTAACTTTGTTGTCCTTTTAGAATGATAAGCACTGATGAATTGTGCAAAATAAGACCAGTAATTTTATTATTTATTTATTTATACAGGTAAGTTGACCAGTAATGATTCATGAAAGAAAATTAGGTCCATTTAGATTTCAAGTAGGCTTTGAAAGATGTGTGATTTCGATTTATATGCATTATAATGGGGCATATACCACTATATATCAACTAAACATCTCCTTGGGACTGAAGACAGAAATGATGCCACTGTGGCCTCACCAGGATCTCCCAGTCATCTGGAGACAGAGGCTCTACGAACACCTGCTGCACTGACTGCACCTGATGACATGGCCGCAGATACCCCTAAAACACATCACAACCATGTTACATGTATCTACATCAGTGCTTCTCAACCTTTTTGACTCCAAGGCCCTTCATTGTCCACAGCAATATTCAAAGGCCTTGTGACTTTTACAGTTGGTCATGATTTAATTGATGAGGATTAAGGATAATTAAGCAGCATAATAATATTTTTACTCAAAATGTTTACCTGTTAAAATATTTTAGAGCTTGGCATAACTAGAAAAATGTATATTCATAAAAATGTATAAAAAATACCCATAGAGTTAATTAACATGACTTTTCCCCGTCTGGAAATAACACTTTTAAAATGAGGCATATATCCAGGTTTTTTCCATACAAAACTAAAAAAAAAGAAGAAATATTTTCAATTTTAGTTGTTTTATTTTAATTCTTGTTTTTTTCTTGTTTTAAATCCTTTTGAGGCCCACTTGTGGGCCCCTCGGTCCCTTGGTTGAGAACAACTTATCTACTACAACCATGCTACATCAAATCACTTCACAGTCATATGCAGCACATTTTAACCAGTGGCAAACCTGTTCCCCCTCCTTGAGCCCAAGTTTCTCTCCCAGCTGTCTGCTGATCTCAACTCGGTCCTCTGGACCTGAAGACCTGATCCAGCTGAGGAACACGGGTGCAGAAACACCCCATGACAGCTCCAGGATCTGGTTCTGACATCACATTAATGATACATGACTCTCAAAACATTCAGAACTTTATGGAAGGCAAACATACAGTACAGTGGCGGACTAATAAATAGCATTTTTATTATTATAAAGCAGCTAGCTAGACACGAACCTCATGAAGACAGAGATGAGTGGCGAAGTTTGATGACAGCTGAAGAAAGCAGTTCTTGGAGTTATTGAAGACCAGAGTGACAGGTTGAATCCCTTGGCTTCCCAACATTGCCTGCAAGGCTGCAAAAACCTCGCTCCTACTACAAAATTATACCTTATTGAAGTTAATCTGTGGTATTAAAGTCAGCATGCTAGAACTGTCAACATGAATTGCATGTCAGACATTAAAAGCCCACGGAGCGTGTCGATCAGCAATACAAGGGTCGTTTGAACGAACAGTTTCGATTAGCTGCGTCTGGCAGTGTTGCCAGATTTCAATCGCAAAACTAGCAACACACTATGGCAACACAGACTGATTAAAGCGATTTACCACATCAAAAATGATTCTGAAAATAATCCCCCCAAAAAACGCAACCCACGACTTATTTATTTTTATAAGTGAGTTTATTAATAAAGAAGCGGCAACACTCTTGCAACTGGACATTGATTTCAAAATAATTGCATTTAACGTTACCTAGAAATTACGATGAATAAATAATAAGGATCAAAATAAAACACTGTTTTTAAGGTACTTTGTAAACTACTGGTTTAAGTTAGTGTAAATTACTGGTTATATATTCTGCCATTTTATCCCATTATATCAAAATACCGAAAGCTCTAGGTTTCTAAGACTTTTATTTTGAAATGTTACAACCCGGATGTGTTGTGTTCAGTGTCTGTGTTCCCATTGAATCCATGATGCGTGTGACTTGCAGTTGCAGATCAATTGAACTGAAAAAACAACTGCTTTCTATGAGTTGAAAACCGCAATTCAGTCCTTGCTGTCAAATAAGTAAACCTGATGGAAACGAATAATGTATTTATCGTTTAGATCATTTTTTGCACATATTTTATTGCTCTGAATATTAGTTAATTTTGACATGGAGGAAGTGGAGTCAGCAGAGGAGCTGTTAGCCAAACAGCAACGCAAGGAAAAGAAAGACCTGCAAGGTAAGAAAACATGACATGTCACGATTACATCTTTACAAATTATAAGACTAATTTCTCTGAAATTTCCCTTTGAAATACCACAAAATGCATTGCATGACTCTGTATGGGTTAATAAACGAAACATAAAAGTACACAATACCAAATATAGATATATTTTTCATGTCATAGCAAAAATACAAACTATGAAAAATGCTGTTCCCAAAAATGATAAGAAGAGGAGGAAACAGCTGACAGAAGACATAGCCAAACTAGAGACTGAACTCGATCAAAAACACGAAAATGAGCTCAAACATCTTCAGAACACTTCCTCGGTAAGTAAAATGTTGTTAATAGAAGATGTTATAACACCCTACCTAGAAACCAGACACATCAACTAGATACACACTCACTCATTCTGATATCATGGATTGTTCCAAGGTGGAGGAGGTTTCAAATGCATTGGAATCAGTGAGTTTGGCAAATAATGATGAAAAAACGGATCCAAGCAAGCCAAGTCGGACATCTAAAGCCCAGAAGAAGCGGGTGAGTTATTTTAATCATATAAGGTGACTGTACTTACTTGCATCTATTTTGAAAACACTGAAAATTCTTGGTGTTTTTTTAGGACAAAAAGGCTGCTCTTGAGAAGGAGCGGGAGGTCCGGATTGCTGAAGCGGAAGTGGAGAATCTCAGCGGCTCCCGTCATCAGGAGGGTCTGAAGCTGAGACAGAAGCTGGTGGAGAAGCACCTGCAGATCAGAGAGATCTCTTCTGACGGTCACTGCATGTACCGCGCTGTGGAGGATCAGCTGACGGAGAGAAGCACCACCCTCAGCCTCAAAGAGCTTCGGGCTCAAACAGCTCAGTACATGAGGAGCCATGCAGACGACTTCCTCCCGTTCCTCACCGACCCCAATTCAGGAGACATGTACACTGCAGGTGAATGCCAGACTCCGTGCCATACACTTCAATAGATAGATAGATAGATAGATAGATAGATTAAAAATAACTTTTCTATTTTAATATATTTTAAAATGTAATTTATTCATGTGGTGTGAATTTTCAGCCTAATAACTCCAGTCTTCAGTGTCACATGATCCTTCAGAAATCATTCTAATATGCGGATTTGGTGCTAAATAAACATTTCTGATGATCAATGTTGCAAATAGCTGTGCTGCTGATTTATTTTCAGGAATCTTTGATGAATCGAAAGTTATTTTGAAACCAAAATATTTTGTAATATTACAAATGTTTCTTTTGTTTCTTTTGATTTCTGACACAATTTAAAGGGTTAGTTCCACCGAAAGTTCTGTCAGTAATTACTTTCATCTTCGGAACACAAATGAAAATATTTTTGTCATAAAGCTAAATGCTTGTTGTTACATGCCAGAATGGATTCTTTTGTTAACTGTTGATTATTTTTTTCTTTAGATGAGTTTGAGAAATACTGCAATGATGTTGCAGACACAGCTGCTTGGGGTGGACAGTTAGAGGTAAGAATACCAGCCGTTTATTCCAACAACAAACATTAAAAAGTCATAATCCATCATTTGCCTATTTTTTTATTTTGATATTTTCTCCATGACAGTTAAAAGCCCTTTCACAGGTCCTCCAGCTACCGATAGAAGTCATTCAGGCAGAATCCCCCTCTATTATTATTGGTGAAGATTATGACAAGCCACCAATCACATTAATGTAAATAACTCAAGTTGTACTTTTATATATATATATTAAATGAATATTCTGTGCATAAGTACAACCCCTACTGCTGTACTAAAGTTTGTTTCTCTGTCTCTTTCAGTTATATGCGGCATGCTTATGGACTTGGTGAGCACTACAACTCTGTGGAGCCTCTGAAAGATTTGGCAAATGAGGAAGAGGGTTGACCCAGTCACTGACACGCATTAATAATACATCTGTGCATAGTTACCCCGTAGAAATGGACCTTCTGGAGTTTGATTCCATTTTGCTAGGATGAGTGAAATTAAGGTTGTTCAGTCAGGATGCTCATAGAAGATGCTGAAATAACACATGCTGCTGGTGACTTCAGTTGCATTGGACAAGTTTAATGAAATAGTCCATGCTTCACAGTGTTATTTATGAATAAACTGTTATGTGCTTTGTGTTATCCGTGGAAAGCTGCATATCTACAAGTCATTTGCTCTAAGAGGTGCTGGATCATTCATGGTCATGCTTACGTCATTGAATAAAAAGAACAAAACTTTCTATCAACGTCAACAAGCTTTTGTCTTAACGGCACATTAGACAAATACAGTCTCCCTCTTTAAAACTGGGATTTTGGCCAACAGAAAAAACACATTAGTGCCCGGTTTCACAGACCAGGTTTAAGACTAGTCCCAGACTAAAATGCATCTGTTTTAACTGAAAGCAACTTGCACTGACATGTCTTGAAATATGTCACTGCCATTGTTTTGTCTCAAGATGCACACAGGCCAACCATCAAAATCATATATGAACTTCACAAGATCACATCACAACTTTATAATAATTTTGACATACTATTACTAATATATTCAATTATTTGAAGTAAAAAAAGTACATTTTAATGACAACATTTTAATATTTAGTGTTTGCACATAACCCTGTCACTACATGATTTCCCCCATTAAAAAAAGAATGTAAAATTATGAAGAAATAACGTTATTTGAACATTTTCAAAAGCATGATGAACTGTCATTTCGTTATATTTTGTTTAGTGTTTACTGCTAAAATAAAAAATGCAGTAATGCTATCACACAAATTAGGGATTTAACAGTCTTTAGACTTAGGTTGTACAAATCGTAAAGCCCATAGAAAGTGAGTAAAAAAATAAAAAAGCTCATAAATTTAGTTTGATTTTGACCATCACGATTTTGAATGAATATTTTGAATGAACCTATTTTCTTAAGGTTGACAACCTTTCACTGAGCATTTTCTGAAAGATAAAATATGTTTTTTAAACGTTTAATGTCCTATATTTGGTATAATACTCAAAAATCTTGTTCATTTTCTGAGGCGCCAATGACAGCGTGCTATACTCATGTTAGGCCGTCAGGCGGCGCCAGTGGCTTCAGGCCAGTTGCGTCGCATCCTGTCGCATCTCCATAGAAACCTTGGGAAAGTCAAATCAAATGGCTAATGATTCCGTTAACGTTATCAGAGCTTTAAAAACGAAATCAAAATCGCTTAATTTGAGTTCCAGGAAAATTACACATCTTCCAGAAGTTTTTGCGAAGCTGCCATGGATTGCTGTATTAAAGTTGAATAATAATTATCTGTCGAGTCTCCCGTCTGAACTGATGTGTTTACAGAAGGTGAGTTCAGACACTTCTGTACAACAGCAATGATTCATTTAACAATACTATATCATTATTCTGTGACAGAGCCCAACAAATATGTCCATAACTTACCATTTTAGTAAATGTTGAGCAATAGACGTTTAACCAACAATAAAACATTGTACTCAAAAAGACCATGAGTCATGACAACTTAATTATTGCAAAGCCAAAATCTAATATTTTAGTCTAGATCATGTAATTCGTTGTAATGTTTTCATAGTTTGTACTGTACATTTATTAATGCGCATCTTAAGTTGACAGAGCTCAATCTGGGAAATAATATTCTTGAGGAGATTCCATCCGTGTTAAAACACCTCTGTTGTCTAAATAAACTTTATTTATATGGGAACAAAATCAGCCATTTGTCACCAGAGGTGCTGGGTAAGTTCAAACTCTTATTCAGGTTTATCGTATTATAGTTTACTGAACTGGGTTTTTATATGTGATATATTTTCAGAAGGTCTACCAAACCTCAAGCTTCTCAATTTAAACCACAACAGAATCAAAGTCATTCCGGCAGAAATTAAAAAGTAAGATGAATCAAGTTTTTTTTTTTTTTTTTTGGACATATTTCACACTCCCCCCCCCCCAACCACACACACACTTTGCTAATTGATTATCATGCATGCTATCTGGTTTTTAAAACATTTCTTGTTTATTTGCAGACTGTGTAGTCTAAAGAGCATCAGTGTCACAGACAATCATTTGCAGCAGATTCCAGCTGAACTGGGCTTGATGAAGAGTTTGACTGAGATTAACTTCACTAATAATAAACTGACTCAAATACCACAACAGCTATGCAATTTATCACAGCTGAGGAAGCTGTACTTGGCCCGAAACAACCTGACAGAACTACCAGAGGCAAGAGTGACGATTATCATCATACTTAACCCAATCTTATGTCTATTAGAAGATTAATATGTGTCCGTTCTTTGCTTAGGGTGTTCTTGGTTGGAAAAATCTGAAGATCTTAGATGCTGCCGGAAATTTTTTATCTGTGTTTCCAGTTGGTGTAAGTTATTTGGACAAAGTGCCAGCCATTTCAGATGTTTCTTTAAATGTTTTTGTTCTTTATAATAATTTTGTCACTGTAAATGTATTTATTTTTTAAATAAGCTATATAATTAAAAAATAAATATCTGATGCTAAATGCTAATTAGTAGGACCTCAGTCCCCCTAAATACACAACTTAATTGTTAACTTTTTATATATTTTACTGATGTTTTTCTCTTTAATGTTTAGTTTCAGTTTCTCACATTGGATGAACTGTTCTTCGAAGGAAACAATTTAGTTCCGTTCACACTGACGGAGTCCGTTCAAGAGAAAGAAGTCCTCGCATTAAAAGTAACATGCTATTATTTCACACTTGTTGCGACCACCACCGCATTGACAGGGGAATATCCAATCTGTCCGATTACATGGCAGACGCAAATGCACGTATTCGATTAATTTCAGATTTATTTCCACATATGAATGAGGCCTGAAACCGATTGAGAATATTGAAATTCATGTGCTTTTTTCCTGCTTACACGTTCATTGATCATATCCGATCTGTGCCACATGGGAGAAAAAAATCGGAATTGGGTCACTTAAAGCATGTAATGTAAATGCGGCCTTAGTTAACTATAATAACCCTGGTGCCTTGTATGTGATTTCTTCCCTTCTTTTCCAGAAAATCATTCAAATGAAATAAAAACGGTTATTTTTTTAACCATAACATTTCCATACTGGTCCTGATTGTAGTTTAATGTGTTCAGGAACTCTCAGCCAGGCTCATCCTCCAGGAGAGCACTAACAGTTTCTCAGTGGTGTCCAGAGCTCTGCCAGTGTACCCAGATCTGCAGGACATGCTGTCTCATTGGGGCCAGTGTGGCCTGTGCTCACAGCCCTTTCTCACCACCTGGCTGGAGTGTGTGCAGTTCATCAACACCAAGAAGGTACAGTATCAGTTCATTCTGCATATCACACCTTACCAGAACACCAATGTTCAGCATTCAGTGCCTGTGGCAATAATATTTCAATATTTCATATGCATCAGGTGCATAAACCACATTTGTAATCAACAGATTAACAGGGTCACAGTTAAACTTAACTTAGTCATTTTCTTCTTCTACTCTTTTTTCTGCATGATCCACATTGCATGTCAATAAAGTGCAAGATAATTTTAGACTATCCTTTAGTAATTTGAGTTTGTTCTATTATCTTTGAACAGCACATGGGGATGAAAAGCTCACAGTCTTTTCCAGTGAGAGTTCTGCTGTGCTCTTACGACTGCTTCAACAGAGATGACCACCAATACTATGGGCTTGCACGATTATAAATTAAAAATGTATCTTTTTATTTTCCCCAATGACTGATCATGATCTAAATCTCTTTATTATAAAGAATTAATTTTTGATGTTTTTGCAATACACCAGCAGATGGCAACATTTGATCACTGACGTTTTTTTTGATCTGGCTGTCAGATTGATATCTGCTGAAGTGAATCAATCCAGTCATTTATATATATATATATATATCACAATAAATCACATCAGTATCCTGCTGTATTAGATTAAACTGCCATACACCTTTTTTCCTTTATCCTTTACATTTAAAAAAAAAAAGAAGAATTTTTTCATTACAGTGAAATGAAATATTCTATTTTATTAATTTTTAAGTGCACAATATGACTTCTGTTATAGTCATTATACATTTCCTCCTGAGTTGATTTTTTAAGTAATCTGAAGCACTCCGCCACAGGCTATTCCCAATTTTGACCTTTTTTCCATTAGTATTTTTGACCTTTCTATAGTCTAGCTTTATGCTTGCCATTATAATTCCCTACAATGAATGCACTCCATACCTCTGTTTGGGCCAATGGCATCTGTTCTAACCTGAGAGGAAACTTCATCTCTCCAAATTAATTTCTCATGCAGGCCTCCTGAGCTCAGAGCAGAGTCTACCGAGTTGGGCCTGATGAATAATGCAGCAGGTTTAATTGCAAAGCCAGAAACTAATGACTTAGGACTGGTTAACAGCAGGGGAACCATACATCTCTGCAAACTGAATGAAAAATCAGTTCAGAAAAAAAGAAGGGGGGAGAAAACGCTAATTGATGAATAATTAAAGCTTGAGCTACAGGGCATAATTGTGACATTTTGTTTCAATCAATTTAGAAGTGCGGGGGAAAGTGCACTTAGGAAACTAATGGTGACTGTGTGGATGTCCACTGAAAAGTGCCACGAGACTCAGTCATTTATTATACAGCCCTCAGTCAAGCTCAGCCATTATTCTAGAGCAGTTGCCTCAATTTCCAAGTGATTGTGCACTTGGCGGGCGTTAATGCGCCTCTCAAATGGTAGATGGACTCCCCGTGAAAGGAGGAGAGGAGATAGTGTAAACAAGTCTGTTTCAGTCTGATGTTACTAAATTACTTTCTTTGAGGCAAATGCACCAACAAGCAGAAAGCTGTCAGGAGAGCCGGCCGCTCGGCCATGGTAAGACTGTATTGTTTTCAAACATCAGCAAAATCAATCAACCAAAAGACAAGACTCAATATAACACTTCCCCTGAACCATCCCCTGTATTACGATCACTGTCTTTGTAAATCATCAAGAGTACATACAGATCTTTTGTTCATGGTTTGGCACATTGATGAAAAATCAGTTACATTTGATCCAGAATGCAAGTTTATTGAGTCACATATACTCAAAAACGTGAATGACTTTGAATCTACATTTGTTAGACCATCAATATTCCTAACTCAACTAGCCTTGGATTGTTGTCTGAACCAACAATTTAATATTGAAGGATGTTGCTGATTTCTTTCTGATTTCAGGCTCTCAACATGCATGACTAAATTAAGCAGTTACCATTCAAAAATTAATGTGTAGCTGTTGCTTTTCTCATGCCATTTAATCACAACAAGAGTGAAGTTATCCAAATGCATGGCACAAGGTCATATATAGGTAACCACACCTATGCTGATATTCAGAACAGTAATTCAGTGTGATATGGATTTAATAGGCCACAACAGTTCAACAAACAAGTTAAAGTTGAGTAAAGGTGCTATCACATTTACCGTAGTACAGCAAATTTTTGATTGCGAAATCCAGTCATTTCTATAGACCTGATGTAGCCCCCCTGCCCCTTTCAGCACTGCTCTGTCTTCTGGTTTGTATTTCCACAGCATGAAGGTAAGATCTTACAGATTAATGAATGAACTGCTCGTTTTCAAAGATAATGCTCATGATAACTTTCATTAACTAAGTAAATCCACTTCACTCATCAAGTCTTTGACAGCGATGCCATAGAAATATACAGAGCTACTTCAAACACAAGAGTCTAAAGATGGCTGTGCGCTTGTTTCTCAGGCGCTAGTACAGTAGGTCATGCTGGCTTAGATTTAACATTACACATGGACTTTGCACCCGCTGCAATACACAAGAGACGGTAAAACATATTCTATTAGATTGCAAAAGATATGAGGAAGAAATAATGTAGAAGAAAGAAGTTCCATATTTAAAAAAAAAAAAAACATGACACTGGAGAATTTGCTGGGGAAAACATTTGGGGAATCCTAATGGTCTCCTAATAAATTATCTGAAAAATACTGGGATAGTGAGAGAATTTAGTACGAATATGTATTATATATATTTATTTATTATTATTACTATCAGTAGGTGGCAGCAATGCGCCTTTAAGTTGGTTTGCCAACCGCCATTAAAACCAAAAGAAGAAGTTGTTTTTCTGGAACATTGGACCAACAGAAACTTGGTTTGAAAGCTACTTCTGTGTGAACGGTACTTAAAGGGATAGTTCACTTTGAAATTAATTTTTGATATGTTTTAGCTTACCTCAAGTACACATTGATGGCCTAAGACACGAAACGAGTGGTTTGTGTGAGAAAACGAACAGTATTTATATCGTTTTTACCTCTTGTAACGCACAGACCGAAGCGCCCGTGCCCTCAGATCACTTGGACGTGGCTGTGGTTACAAGAGGGAAAAACGATATAATACTGTTCGTTTTCTCACACAAACCGCTCGTTTCATGTCTTAGGCCATCAATGTGTACTTACATTTACGAGTCATTAAATCATGTTTAATTTGGACTTCTCTGTGTGCATGCTCTTTGAGGAAGTTACCATAGACCTGCATTATATGACTGACAGACAAGAACGTTTTGACCTAAAAATATCAAAATTGAAACTACTGCGGAAACAAAGACACCTACATCTTGGATGCCCTTGAGGTAAGCTAAAACATATCAAAAATTAATTTCAAAGTGAACTATCCCTTTAATACATTGCTACACTGATTCAATAGAAAATTTTTTTTTTCCACGAAATTTCGTTAATGTTACAGCAACTTACTAACTTGTTAGAAAACATATTTCTATTTAGCTTGTCTACTTGTGCTCTTCCAATGAAGTTCCAAGCGGAGCGACAGCACAATGAAATTATGCATTTCCGAGTAACACATTTCTAATTTCTGAATGAATCAGTGTTTTGAACAAATCCTTGAGTGAATGATTCAGTGACTGACTCACTTGACGCCAGCTACAGGGGTAACGAGAAAGACAGACGCTGGCAAACATCGATGCTTTCTCCTTCACTGTGGTCATTTGTCATTATAAAAAGGTGGGAGAGTTTGTTTTCCAAACTCTCCCACCTTCCAAACTCTCCCATGTTTTCCAAACACGAGGTTTGGAAAACTCAAACCTCATGTTTTCCAGTTCTTCAGAAATGGATAAAATATAGATGTTACTCTGGGAAGACCCTTTAATGTTTAATGTTTTTTTCAGCTGCACATTCTCAGAAACCAATTACTGCCTTGATCAGTATATACAAAGATCCATTGTACATATATTGCATTATTTTTATTCATAATGAATAAAAATAATGATTCATAATGATAAATGTTTATCTTATATACATACATTTAATTTTTTTATCTTATTTTATTCATTACTTGGTACCTTATTTTAGTTTCTTTTTTATTGTTATTTGTTATTATTATATTGCATATTTATTTTTCTTGTCAAGACTTGAACGTTGTGTATTGTGTACATTGTGCTTTGGCAATATACACAATCATGCCAATAAATCAAATTCAAGAAATAGAACAAACTGTTTGTATAATGTTAATTATTTGTTGTGTGGCAATGTTACGAGCTCATATTAAAGACATTTGGCAATTATTAAGGTAATTATTGAGAGAACTGAACTCAATGCAACAATATATATTTTTATAGTGCATATTGTAAGATTAAAAATACATATAGGCTAGAGAGCTTTTTGTTCATTTGTTTGCGTTCATTTACATTTGTGTGTACATTAGGAAGCACACCAGCCTGAGTATTTCTTTGTGAGTCTAGACAGAACGAGTCTGCCTTTGTGGCAGAGCCCAGTGGCAGCCATTACTCAGTGCACTAAACAAATGGTGCACCAGTCTCCTCCATCTCTGTAGCTGGATTGTGAGCGCCCGAGGACAGCTTTGAGGCTACCAGAGCAGAGTTTACCGCATGATCTGTGGCCTTTGCATTACAGGCAGATCACCGCTCAATTTTAGAAAGAGAGGGAGCATCTGAAATGAAACATGCATTATTCCAGAGAGCAGATGTTGGGGTCCTGGAGCAGCAGGACCGCCCCGGGCCCTGTCTGGTGTCAGCGTGTGTGTGTTTGCGGATGTGTATATGTGCGTGAGCAGCTCTCCTCTGTCAGACCACTTTGTTAAAACGGAGCCCAGCCTTTCCTCTTGTTTTGCTAACCTCGGTTCACACAAACACTCCACTGTTGTTTTCATACATCACCGATGTGGGAATGTCACGACACGTCTGGTGTGCCCGATCCACTATTTGTGGGCATTTGTGCCGCCTGAATAGAGAGAATGTGTTTGATTGACATTAATAGCAATGCAGAATATCTGTCATTGGAGAAAATATCACACAGTGGGTGACGTTGTGGAGAACTGAGAGCATTATGCCTCTACACTGAACATGTATGCCATATGTTAATTAGGAAGTCTACACTGATATAATTACTGAAAGGGAATATTGCCTATGGTGAGAATATCTCCCCGCCACCTCATGGGGAACGTAAAGGAAGATAAAGTAGGTGTGCATAAATTTTAACTTACTAGCCTTGAAACGGGAAGAGTAATGTTGGCAAATTCACTCAGGATGATCTATTGGAAAGCCGGAGCTTTATTACATTTCTCCTTTGTCAGACTATTTAAGCTCCTATCAAGCCCCTACACACAAACACGAGCACATTACGAATGCTTCAGTAGCTTCGTTACAGATTAGATCTCTTTAATTGGGTTTCGTTTGACCCGTTTCTGAGATTTCTCCGTAATGCATCATGGC